GAGAGGCAAAGAGGTAAAGTATATAGGAAAAGTTTCCATTCTATGTATAATACCTGCAAATTGGAGGCCAAAGCCCCAAGGCCTCTTCATCAGAAACATATGTAAATGTAAGTTTGTCATGCCACTCATGAATCTTCTCAATTTCTGGGAGAAAGCTTGTTCGAAGAGAAACATTTTTGCTTGGAGAGTTGTTTATGGTATATTTCAATTTCTCAGTTGGTGGCCATTCAAAGAATTCACGAGCTGCATTCCTTAAATTTGAAAGTACCTCAGTAGAAATCCCATGATTAACAAGTCGGATCAATCCCCATTCCTCCGCTGCATCACACACCATATTCTCAATGTTAGGGTCACTCCAATTTGATATATCGATCACGGGTACGTATTCTTCCAAAGTATTGTCAACATTGAACCGTTCTTCAAGTGGTTGAATGAATTCCTGTGGCAGAATTTCAAGGTCCATTTCAGACAGGCCCTTGACCCCATGACCTTCATTTATTAGTGCTTTGATATTATTTGAATTCAAAGCAATTGCCGTCTTTTTCGAATCGGCCATTGGAATTTATAAAGCTAGAATGGTACTCGTCACTAGCTTATCTGCAAATGAATAGTAATTGCTTCAGAAGTTGTAGATAGTCAAGTTTTAGTTATTAACAATGACCCATAGTGAATAATGATTAATCACCGGTGAGTCCCAAATGTAGCTGGAGTTATAACTCCATTGTAAAGTTATATTGCAAATCAATAAAAAGTGACATTTTCCCCAAAAAAAAAAAAAGCACCACAGCACTTACCAAACCGTCAATGTCTAAAAATGTCTGTTCCTTTTTCACTTGCAAGAGCCTATTTGGACCTGTTAAGAGACACACAAGTTAAAAAATAATAGTTAAAAAATATTAGTCATGACAAAAGCAGACCTTCAGACATGGCTATGCCTGGAATATAGGTAAACAGCGAAGAAAAGAAACAACTTCAGCCTGTGAAATGCAAGTGAACGCAAGAAAACAGCATGCTGTCTCTCATCTTTCGGCTACATTCACAGGCTATGAATTTCGGGGTTTTCATGTCAAGAGATTCAAACAAGTACCAAACTTTACTCTAGCAATCAAGCCACAGTATTTCAACATTTAAGCATGAGTAAGAGCCCAGAATCTCTGGTTACGCAGACCAGGTTTCATATGGAATGGAAGTGGACAAGAAAGAAAAAAAAAAAAAAGAAAAGATTGAAGACTACCTATTCACCGCCTTTGGATCTGAAGCTCAGCTTGAGTTTGATGAAGAATCAACCCAGGCTTTGATGGAGAAACCTTGCCGTAGCTTTCTTACAACCTCAGCCGCAAAGTTCTTCCCTTTTCTCTTAGTTTCTCCTCTGCTTACTCTCAGTTACGAACCCTTGCTTGCTGTTTCTCCTCCTCTCTCAGCCCGTCACTGCCCCCAGCCCCGTATGGTCGTTTATTTATAGAATGTTGAACGCACGATTTGTGTTCACAAGGAATTCATGAAAAAACTGTCCTATGTCCCAGGACCTGCTCGGTGCATGCTGTTTGGCAGTCTTGTGAACGGTGAACCCATTAAAGTGACATGAGGAAGTTTTAGTAAGTCATCAATTCCTCAATAAAGGAGCCTTGTAACATCTGTAACCTGATTCCAACCATATAACGATATATATTTTTGTCTTCTAATTAAAAGATTATATGTTTAATATTTTTAATTAATGAAGTTTACTATACACTGTTTAAGAAAGCCTTTGAATAGTCTTAATTGAATCAATTCCACTCATGACGATCTCTGTCTTCTTGTTTAAATGGCCCACATTTGCTCATTGTGCTTGCATTTGCCTGCCCGGACGGTGATAGATACCTATTCAAGCGACCCACATTCTTTACATTGATTGATAATTTTGACACTCTAAAAATAAGGCCACTGCCGAAATAGCAGCAGCTTATAATTAAGCATGGATTGGTTGGGCATCAATGCCCCAAAAATATGCATGAATTTAGGTATCGCCATTTCCAAGGATTTTTGCCTTCCATTAATTGCTTTCTACAACAATCTGCTATACGTGTTCAGGATATCCATGGCCATGGAACTCTCTTACTACATCCTAGGGGATATAACAGTGACATACACAACCAACTTCATTACCCTCATTCCTATAGTACACCTTTCTCTTGTCAACAATGGTAAGGTGTTGGCATGTTAAATCAAGTCAAAAAAAAATTCTATATTATTATTTAACGGTGTTTTAGTTAAGTTAAAATTGTGGTAATTTTATTGGGATTAAGTTAGAGTAGTTTTATTCTTTGGAAATTAGTATTTTATTAGAAAATTTTTTGTTGTTGTAACACTACCAAATCATCTAATTAATAAATAGAGAGTTTTATTGTTATTGTCAGCTGAGGAGAGTAAAATTTGATGGTCTTGTTATTTTAGTGTGTGATTAATATATAATAGTTGGTATTATGAAATTTATCGCCTATATATTTTTTGATCAAAATTTTGGATTCTACATCTGGTATCAGAGCCCTAACTTCAAAAAATTGATCTTGGGGTGCTTATGAACATTGAAAATTTGTCCCAACCACGAGTTTAGTCTTGAGCGTCTCCTGATGTCAAAGTTGGAGCATAAGAATTGTAATAAAAAAAAATTAATTGATTGAGTTGGACCACAATTTTCGTCATGGAGTATCCAATTGGTAAAGATTGGACCATAAGATTGGTTCAGAAGAATTGTCAGATTGATTGCGGTGTTGCGACAAAGATAGGAGAAGAATCTTGAGTTGTGGTCACCAAAATCGTAAAGTGACGAGTTGTCAATGAATTGACATCAAATTGTGGAATGAAAATAGTTTATCCAGAGGTTTGGATTATTTTACCTAGTCAAATATAAATTTGCCCGTGCAATATTAAAACAACAAAAACTTTTGAAGATGAAAAATTGAAATTGATATTAGGAAAATTTGCAAAGGAGATCACTCTTAGTGATTGTGTTGGATTAAATTCAAGAAAAAACGTGATTTAAGGGAGGCAATGTTAGAAGAATTAAATCAAGCAATATTTAGAATTATATTTTTTTATTTGGTAATTAGATTAGAATTGGTGTCATAGTTTGTTCAGAAAATCTAGTTGAATTGTGTTTAAGAATTAGAATTAGAATTAGAATAGGTTTTATCATTTTGTTTCTCTATTTAAGGACTTGAAGTCCTAGGTTGGTAGTTGAGGAAAATTGAGTGACGAGATAAATTTGTTCAAGTGTGTGGAATATTACAACAACAAAAACTAAACTATAGTTGAAAAAAATTGAGCAAAAACTATAGTTGAAAAAAAAAAACTGAGCAATTTCAGCAACAAAAACTGTAGTTGAGGAAAAATTGAATGACGAGATAAATTCGTCCAGTTGCGGGGAATATTATAGCAACAAAAAACTGTAGTTGAGGAAAAATTGAGCGGCGAGATAAATTTGTCCAAGTGCATGGAATATTACAGCAACAAAAACTTTTGAAGATGAAGAATTCAAACCGATATTAGCACAATTTGCAAAGGAGATTATTGTTTGTGATTGTGTTGGACTTAATGCAAGAGGAAGATTGATTCTAAGGGAAGCAATATTGGAATAATTAAACCAAGCAATATTTAGAAGTATATTTTTTATTTGGTAATTAGATTAGAATTGGCGTCATAGTTTGTTCTGAAAATCTAGTTGAATTTTGTTTAAGAATTAGAATCAAAATAGGTTTTATCATTTGCTTCTCTATTTAAAGACTTAAGTCTAGGTTTGTAGTTGAGGAGAATCAATTAGTTGAATAAATTTCTTTATCCTCCTGTGCCTTCATATTCATTAGTCCAGCTTATCAAGCTGTGTGTTTTCCGGCTTCGGGATCTTTTCCGTCCTTTTCTAGTATGTTCAAATAGCCTCACGACTTATCATATTTGTTCATTGTTTGTTTGTGTGCTATCTAACCAACAAATTCTTGGTTTACAAAATACAAATATCTTCCGCTGCATGATTTTTTGTACTAGCACAACGTAGGCCTGACTTCAAATTGCCACTGATCTCTTTCAATCTTTCAAACGTATTTGTTTTTCATCTAACTCGTGCATGAAAAACATCAGTCCCTACCAATTCTAATTTGTCTGAATCAGCTTCCAATTGGGTGGTTCAGAATTTATTTTGAAAGTTACAGGTTCATACCAAAGTTGACAGAATAAAGATTTTGGTTCAGCGACAAAACAAGACATAATTTAAGAAAAGGTCAATCCAAGACGCGAGAGACGACCTTTTCGCTTCATGCAAGAAAGCCAAAGGCGGTTTCCAATTTATTGGGACATAGGACAGCTTTTCATGAATCTCTTGTGAGCACAAACCGTGCAAGACACCAAATCATGCTTAAAGGGTGTCTTCAACATTCTACAAACAAACGACTATACAAATATAGATGGGAAATTAGCGGCAAATACGTTCATTTTTCTCAAAGGCTAAATCTACTTTACAACCTTAAATTTAAGCATCACTTTTTCATTATTCACTTTAAACTCTCAATTTTGGATGCATTTCAAACTCTGAAATCAATGATAACATGTTGAAAATGTTTAGAACGAGTCAAAATATCACAGTTAAAATAAAACGATACATTATCATTAATTTGCATATCTTTTCTCATTAATTTTACCAACATTATCATTAATTGGATTTAAATAAAACAGGCTTCAAATCGGTCGGACTGCATTCACCAGAAAATTTGATTTTTTTTTTTTCCTGAAATTGGGGGAGAATGAGACCCATTTCTTAACCGGGTCGGATCATGTTCTTTTTCAAAGGGGTCGGATCTAGTCAAATCGGTGAAGCTTATGTTTGGACTTTTCTAAAATGAGCTTTAAACTGAAAAGACTTGGGCCGGATTGGTTCTTCTAATGATATTAAATAAAGGCCTTTACAAATCAAATGTCTACTGGGCACTATTGAGTCAATCAAAATGGACTTGTGAATTGAAAAAAATACCTTGGGCCATATGGCTTGTTGGGCTTGTTAAAAGTCCTAGTCAAATAGCCTTTCCAGATGAAACCTTTCCCAGTCCTAGCCTTTCCAAAATAGTGCAATATTCTATATGGGATATCGAAGCACTTCTCTTATAAATTGCTGCACCTTCCCGTGGTAATGGTCCCTCCTCCTCATCTTCCACCATTTCTCCAAGCTCTTCTACTTGACCATCATCCCACTCGAAACCCCTTGTCACTGCACTTTCCTCAGCAACCACATTACTACTATTCTTGCTGCTTCCAGCTCTCAACCGCCCACTTTGTAAAATGATTCTTGGCTTTTGTTGCAGCCCGAAGCCAGATAAGTTGAACATTTACGAGGAACAAATTCGAGGGATGGACGTAAAACAGACACATTTTGGATTTTCAGGTTGCAGAATTGAAGTGGGATGACGTTCGATGACACCACAGAGTATGAAGAATAAATAGGCATTTCGTCGAACAATTGGTATCCACAAAACAAAATTTAGAAAACAACAGGACCAAAGGAGAACCTATAAATCTTCATGGGATAGAGGG